AGGTGGAAAGAGCTGAGCAGCTGAGGAGTCACCTGGCACCAGTTGGTGGACCGGTGGCTGGGCTAAGTCAGCACCTGGAGATAAAGAGACCCTGCTTCCAGGCTCCTCTGTAGTTCCTCCCTAGGCTCCCCCATTATTTTGTACTGCTTTCTCCAAGTTTGGGAGAAAGAGGTTAGGCTGTATGTTGGGCACTGTGCTTAGTGTTTATGTCACTCAGGGATCTTGGTTGCTTGCAGTGCAGAAACAACGTAGAGACTCAGAGAATTGCAGATCGGTTAGAAGACTGGGAAGGTTACACACTTGGAAGGTAGTCAGGAACCAAGGAAAGGCTGGAGGGCTGGGTAGCAGGACCCCTAGCAGAAGCCATGCTGCAGAACCAGCTGGTCTTCAAGCTGCTGCTGCAGTGACTAATAACTACAGTGATACCTCGGTTCTCGAACAATTCGGTTCTCGACCGTCCTCCTGGAACGAATTATGTTCGGGAACCGAGGTATCACTGTATAACCTCTAGCCATCACCTTTGGCTTTCATATTCACCCAGAACTCCTCAAGTCCCAGGAGGATGTGATTGGTCGTGCATAATCCATATTGCTTGAGGTGGCAAGAGAGCATATCTGTCTCCTTTGCACTACTTCTCACTAGATTACTTGTTATCACAAGGTTACTAGGGACTCCCTAGAAGTGAGATTAGGTGCAAATAGGAACAGGACTGTATACTGGATAGTGTCCTCTTTAAGAAAAAGAGACAAATGTCTGCTATGGCTCTCCCCTTGGGCTGCCCAACATACACCTAACACCTTTCTTACCATATGTATACTTAGGAAAATAAAATACCCCAGCCAACATAATACAGCTCTCTCTGTATGTCTGATCACAGCCTCCCCACCCCCACCCCCAGGTTCTGTTCTTTGAGACCTGCTTTGTCCATTGTCTCCTTAGATGTGACATCTAAGGTGAGCATTGAGGAAGGTGGCTTTGTCAGGGGCTGCAGTGTTTTAGCAGGTTTTTTTTTTTTGTTCTTATGAGTGGGAGTTCTTCGGGTTGATTGTATTAAGGATGAAGCAATTGTAAGTTACTCACTATAAGCTGGACTTCTTTGGCAGTATAGATCCTTTAAAAATGTTGTTGGCTTTTTGCTGTGGCTGGTTTGCTCAGTGTTTAGAGCGTCGGCCCGTGGACCGAGGAGTCACGGGTTCGATTCCGGTCAAGGGCACTTACCTCGGTTGCGGTTCATCCATGGCCCTGGTTGGGGAAGCAGCCAGACAATGTGAGACACATTGATGCCCCCCCCATTTGAAGATAAATGGAAAAATATCCTTGGGTGAGGATTAAACAAAAAATATTGTTGGCTTTTAAGGTTTATTTGTTTCCATAAATTAGTAACCAAAACTTGGAAGCTTTGGAACCTAGAACTTGGTCCGAAAACTTGTCTCCTGGCAATTGGACCTGGCCTTGGTGCTCCGCAGGGCGTTTCTGCTCTTGATTAATAGACTCTCCCTGGGTGTAGTTAAGTAGCATAAGAAGCAACAGAGTGAAGGATACCTCCACTGTGCTGCCTCTTCCTGGTTGGTGGCAGTGCTGTCCCGTCCCCAGGCCACAGAGGCCAAACAGGTGGCACTTGGCATAGGTCACACTCCTGCCTCCAGGCAGAAGGACTCCTCTTAACACAACACCGTATGTTCTCTCCAGCTTTAGTCAGGCCGGTTTTGCAGCCAGCGTGCTTGTCTTCTTCTTGTAATCCCTACGAAAGAGCCAACATATGCTCCGGTATCTGAATTTTTCTCAACTTCTCTAAAATTGCAGGCGCAAAGTCCAAGTCGTAAGACACAACAGACCATGGTTTAATCAGCTGTTTTATTATTAAGTATAAAAGATGATCATCTTGCCAGTCAAGGGTAGTAGGTCCTCATGCCCTCCACCCTGTGGCCCTGGCTCAGCCAGTCCATGCTCTTTAGCATATTCCTTACAGCACTCCACTGCCTCTTACCAACTTCTATTATTAGGTGAGATGCTTTCTGTTGCAAAGAGTAAGCAATCTGCTTAAACAATAAGGAGAATTAATTGGCTTCCCTGAGCGGTGGGCTGGTGTTCAAGTGCACTTTGATCCAGAGGTTCCTGATGTCACCAGGGCTCCAGCATGAATTCTCCTCTGGGATATTTCCTTGCCCTGCGTCTTCGTGTCTTGTCTTCCTCCTCACACTAGCCCTCTCTCGTGAATGCAGACATGGTTGAAGCAGGTCCAAGTATCACGTCTAAATCATGCCACCCAGAGATAGATAGAACTTTTGTTCTAATATTCCAGGCCTCAGGCTCAGTTATATGACTAGCCCTGAATCAATGATGTGGCTGGGAGATGGAAATGTGTTGCTTGTCTTAGTCTAGAGCACTTGCTGCATTCCTGGAACGAGGGATAAAATTGGCTCCCTGAGAACAACAAGGATTCCCATGGGGGTCTTGGGAAGGAAGGGTGTTCCCATCTACATGTCAAACAAAAAGTAGCTTCGGTTCTTCACAAGTGTTCTCATTTAATTTTCCCACGTGAATTCTCCTGATAGTTTATGGAAATCTTGAGTTAGCAAGTGATTCTGACACTTGTTCTTATGGTAAGCATTGTTTTTGGAGGAAAAAAATCCATTTCTTTTTGGTGGAGCAAATACACCAATCAATCTCACTGAGATGTCAAAGTGGACCAAATCAAGGCCGGAGAGAGGAGTCACAGTAATGGAAATTGGTAGGAAGATAGGGTAGTACCTGGACACCACTTTCTCAGCGTCCTGTTTTTACTGTGAGAATAGGGGCAGGGTCACTATTTCCTCCCTCCCCCATGCTAAAAAGACAAATGCAACAAGCAAAACTAGACTTGAATGACTAAATGAACGTTGGTATCGCTGGTTCAGTTGGTTTACTTTATTGTATTTTGGTTTGCAACAGTTGTGTTTTCAGTTTTCCACTTTTATCGACTGCCTGTATCTCAGCTATTTGTTTTGTGCTCTCCCCACTTAGGGATTATAAAGTTGGAATAGAAGGGTAAAAATTAGAACCCATACAAACTTGCTTGAAACTTACATTTGAAAGGATGGTGAGGCAGGTTTAATGATAGAGAAAGATTGGCTGCTTAATTATTGTTACCTGCAGCGAACTGTGGTCTTTCTGCAGCTGTCTCCATAAATAGACTTTATGTACAGGAATCCAGCCCAGGGCAAAGAGTTCCTATGCAGCCCCTTTGCTTAATTTAAATAGCTGGTTTGAGGTGGTTGTTTTTGACACCCATCTCAGGTTGACATTCCCCCTTAATCCCTCAGCCTTCTTCTCTCATCTGCCAAATTATATGTAATGAATCACAGCTAGAGTGCTTTTGGCATTTCACGAGTCTGAGAACTTGAAATTTGATTTAAATGTTAATTTATTGCGACAAAGGTTGGGCACTCACGTTCCTATTACTGTGCAAGTCTTTCCACGGACTTGGCACGGGACCAGCGCTCTCCCTGGCCTCCACTGCATCTGCAGAGAATGGCCAGGGCCCCCAGCTCCTCCTTTTCTGTTTTTAAATAGAGTCCGGCCTAGTCAAAGTACATGAAACCATTCTTAGTGCTCCTACTGTTGGGTTTTAGTGATATCTGAGGTTATTTGTTCTAGGTGTATTGACATGAAACTAAAAAAGACATATTAACAAAAGAGTTAACTCTATTTTTCCTCTTTGAATATTAAATACTTTCTTATTGGGTTCTTTTTGTTTATGGTGAACCTCTGCTTCTTCTTGGTCTCTTTTGGCTTTTCAGTGCACATTTAAACCTTTTTTTTAATAGGGTCAGAAATAAAGTATGTATTTGTGGATTCATATAAATCATTAGTAATTAATAATAAAAATTACATAATTTCCAGCCTTTCCCGGTCTTCCTAGCCCAATTAAATGTAGGTTTGGTTGCTTCTCAGAGACCTACTAGATGTTCTAGACTAGAATAGGAGGACATTTATTTAAATTGCTAAGTTTTAAGGAAGTAGAGCGATCTTTGTAGGATATGATATGCCTGCGTGACTCCATAATGGAAGGAATTAAATGTACTTTTCTGTCAGTATTGGGTGTATGAACATCCATGAGTATTCATTGAATGCTAATTTTGTTTTGCTATTTTGGTTGTGTGTCTGCTGGAATGATCATTAAGAACATCGAAGGTATTCTTGGCAGGTTACATTATATAGGCAGCCTCTGATTTACAAGTGGGTTGCGTGTTTTTCTTTATCAGTCAGTGTTGATGCCTGAATGAAATTTCCCCCCATAGGTACAGTGTTATATGTGGTGATTGAGTTCTTTAACACTAAATATATCACTCTTAAGTAACCATGAACAATATTTCTTAATCCCTCTGAGTTTTCTTATCTTAAAATGAAGATAGTGATAACAGTACCTATCATACAGAGTTATTGTGATGATTAAATTAATTAATGCATATAAAGTTCTTAACACAGTGTCTGAGATGTGGTGAGGACTCAATAAATGTTAGCATCATTTTTAAAACATTTTCTGGGAAAATGCATTCTGGATGTCATTATGGAATACTGGGGGATGTCATGTTGGGGGAAGTGGTTCCTGTAAGCTTAAGGCTGACATTGATATGCAAGGTTTAGAGGAAAGAGAGGGGTTCTTTTGCTAGAGTTTTGCAGCTTCTGACTGGGGAGAGGGGATGGTCTAAAGAACAAAACGGAGACCCTCGCTTCCTAGTGGCTTTTTCTGTAGATGAACTTTGCCTGGGATGATGGACTAAAAGGGAGGTTCATTTGTGGCAGCAGGTTGGCAAATGGGGCTTTTAGTGGCGTGGCAGTGACTGTGGCCACCTCAGAGGCTTCTCAGGTAGGTTGCCAGGAGGGGAGGTGATGACATTTGAGACAGGTGAGGGCCATTTGGAACTACCAGCATTTCATTTCTTCAGTGGTGCTAAAAACATCGGAAATAATTTCGCTCATTGAAGTTGACCCTTTTCTTGTCTTTCCTGCAGCTGGAAACTATGGCCAAAATGGAGGTGAAAACGTCACTGCTGGACAATATGATTGGAGTTGGAGATATGGTTCTTTTAGAGCCTCTCAATGAGGAGACCTTCATTAACAACCTCAAGAAGCGCTTTGACCACAATGAGATATACGTGAGTGTGCACGGAAGGTCACGTGTGGGGTTTAGACCGTGCGTTTTGTGGCAGAGCTGGCTTTTCTTCAGCCTTCTCTTTTATTTATTTATTTGTGTGTTTTCTGTTTATCAGAGTCCAGAGGTATTTGTTTATACCCTTAGAAAGAGCTTTGTGTTTGCTCGTTTGGCACACGAGCAGTACTGATTAGAATCTCGGGAGTCTGCTCTTCGCATGGTGCTTCCAGAGCGCCAGGCGTGCAGGGGCTGCGCTGGACGTGGGGGCGCTGGGAAGCGGCGCAGGAGTACCTGATGTCTGCCTTCTGGGGACACGGATTCAGGGGAGTCTTGAAGTCTATCTGCGTCCTCTTGGATGCTTTCAGACAATTAGCAATCTACCCTGTGAGAAGCTACTCATTGGAAGGCAGGACAGTGAAGTGTCACAGAAGATAGGAATCTTCTTGACGTTTGTAGTTAGTGGAGGCAGGAGCAAATTACCAGATAAAAATATGTGTTTGGTCCCTGGAGGCTTGGGAATAGTCATGTCCTGCTATACAAAAGTATAATGTCATAGACAAAAATGAAAGCATATAAATATAGACACTAAGAGGAGAAATTTTATGTTGTAAACATTCTTTATAAAGGATTGCACAATATTTATCAAGTTCCTTAAATATATTTAAAACGTGAGTAAAAAAATACACTTATACATAGTTTTTGAGGAATTTGTGTAAAGCACAGAAAGTTGCATCTGTTCAGGTAGAGATACAGTGTTAACTAAACCAAGGAAATGGGGCATTGGTTCCCTGTACCAGCAGCAGAGAAGGAAACCTGATAGATTGGATGGAAGTATGAGTTTTAATAGAGTCTGCCACGCTTCTGAGTTCTTCTCCTTTTTATTGTGTATCTCTGTCTGGAGATGAATGGGATTATTTGGACATGCTTTATATTTTTCTATTAATATGGGAACAAACAGTAGGAGTAAATATAAAGAAATAAAAGGAGAGGTCATGGTGGGTACAGGTAGGATCGGTTATAACTTTTGTGGAAATAAGGTATATGTATTTTAAATGATATATGCAAAGCCATCTTCTCTTATGTCACATATAACTTTTCTTTCCAGATAGCCAATCATGTTTCAAGGATAACTTTGCATACACTTCTTAATGAAATAATAGTCATCATCGGGGAACTGAACTTTTCATCTTTGTTGGTTTATATTGTTGGACATTAAGATATGATACTGCTGTTTTGGACATTAATTTGATAATTAGATCTGGGCCTACGTTCAGAGACGTTATGTAAAATGCTGATTCAAAGAGGAAGGTTTAAAACACTGCGGCCGAGCAGGGAAGAGGTATTGTTTGGTTTGGCAATGAGGCCTGGTGTCACCTTCCCTCAAAGTATACGGCTCTCAGGTGGGAAAAGCTTACAGTTCTGCAACTTGAATTGAAAGTATGGTCTGATGTGAAATCAAAGGCAGACTTGAAACATGGGTCTCTGAGGTGGAGACAGGAGGAATCTATTCTATCCTAACTAGCGTTGCTGATCATGTTTCTTTTTGGCTCTAAGAAGCCCAGGTCACTTTTAGATGGATTGAAAATAAGATGGAGAGTAGAACATTACATGCATTCAAATACCTGATTTGTTGTGCCCCCTAAAAAGAAAACAACCCCATTTTTAACAAAATGCCAAGTGTTAACATTCAAGAGTGTTTAGCAGATGAAATGTCTGGTTTCAGCCCTACATAATTTTATTTTCTATTTTAGGAATGTCCTTTCTGGTGTAAAACAAAAGCAGAAAATTGCTCTCTGCTTTCAGATATTCATATAAATTGATGTTTCCATGGTACTTTAGGATCATCATTTTCACAAGATGTGTGGCTTCATTTGATAACTTTAAACACACAGCATAAGAGGATTCTCTGTTTTATTTAAGAAAAAAAAATTTCAGGTTATAGAGTAATTTGTGTAGTATGACTCTATGTTTTGTTAATGAGGGGGTTATGGGTGTACACATGTTTGTATATTTGTCTGCATATAGAGAAAGGCATGCTAACTTTGGGTACCAGAGTGGGATGGGATGGGATTTGGGGACAGGGAAAGGTTACTCTTTTAGACTCCTGTATTATAGGACTTGTTAGGTTAAACATGTATTGTTTTTGTACTTAAAAAAATATTGTACAATAGATTTGATTATTACACCTCTGCAACCACACATGTCATGTATACCACCCTTGGGAAATCTGTTTCTGGCTCTTATATTGATATTTCTGCTTTGCTTTTGCTCATGGGTTGCTGTACAGTTGTTTAGCCTGATATGAAAGGCCAAGTTAATACGACATGCAATATTTTATTGTCTGCCACTTCACCGTGTTTTTAAATTCTTTCCCAGAAAACGAAGTACAGTTCTTTTAAAAAATATATATATTTTGTTGTCTCATAGCTTTGTTTTATTCTATAAAAGTGGGTGACAGTCCATGATGAGCCATCACATTGAACAGTCATAGTTTCAGAAACCGTGGTTGAAAAGGTGACCAGTGAACAGAAGTGCCCTTGGCTCAGACTTTTGAACTTTGGCTACAATCCATGGCCTTAGCAGCCTCCTGTGTGAACAGCTCCAGGTCATGGGGACCCTGTTCCTCCATTCTGCCATCCATTCACCCCCACCCCATCTAGAGATAAGAAATAGTCCCTACTTTCACAGAGTTCTCACAAGGGACTGCTTTCCCTCTAGGTACAAATGATCAACTCTCTAGAGCAGCAGTTCTCAACCTGTGGGTCGTGACCCCTTTGAGGGTCAAAACGGCCCTTTCGCAGGGGTGGCCTACGACCATCGGAAAACACGTTTTCGATTGTCTTAGGAGCCAAGACACTGCTTCTCTATCCGGCTCCAGGCCGGCCCGCCCACATGCAGATTTGCCCACATACAACATGAGGAACTGTATTAAAGGGTCGCGGCACTGGGAAGGTTGAGAACCACTGCTCTAGAGGATTCATCATAACCCTTAGTGGATCTTCAGACAGCTGAATCTGGAAGTAGAATCCCTTGTGATCCTCTCATACTAAACCTGAAGCCCTGGGTAGGCCAGTTGAGTCACATACAGAGTGTCCCCCAAAAATATATACAGTGTCTATAGATTCTATTACATTTTGAAAATGAAATGTATTTTAATAAACATTGGCTTTATAATTACTCAAAGTTGTGTATACCTTTTTTTGGGACACCTTGTATATTCTTCCAACTACTGACAGTGGCCAGGTAAATGGAATGAGGTGAGTGGCTTAAGACAGTGATGTCTACAGCTAGGATTTGGGGAGGCTCAGGTTTTTTCAGAGTAGGTGGGCTGTGTGTGAGGTGGTGTGGATACCTAATCAAATATATCTATCAACATATTAGGAAGAGAAAAAAGGGAAAATCACAGGTTTGGTAGGGAATCCCCTCTCCCCCCCTCCCCCCCAGGGTTTTTTTTTTTTTTCCCCCCACCTTTATTGATTTTTTTTTAGAGAGAATAAGGGAGAAGGAGAGAGGGTTAGAAACATCAATGAGCGAGAACATTGATTGGCCGCCTCCTTCATGCTCCCCACTAGGGACTTGGCCCACAACCTGGATATGTGCTCTGATTGGGAATCGAACCAGTGACCTCTTGGTGCATGGCTTGATGCTCAACCACTGAGCCACATCGTTGGGCTGGTAGGGAATGTTGTAATGAAGTGGCTTTATTGATGTTGATAACACCCTAAAGGATAGGCCCCCAGGAAGCATTTATCATTTGAGTTCTAGGCTTCACGTGCCCCAGAGGCATGCTTCTCACACTGTTCTCCTGCAGAATGCCCCACGGCAGAGAGGAGTAAACAAGGTGCCTCAGGGACTCTGGGTCACAGTTGAAATCCATTCACTTTAGGGAAATTATGTTGAAATCTTTGCCTCCAAAATAATTCAAAGTTTTGTTATGTTCTGTAATGTGTATGGGTTTGTTTTAGTCTAACATGCTCCTCCAACCCTCTTTGGAATAAGAAGTATTTTTGGTGCTGACAAGTAGATTTGGTTTGCTTTCTCTTTGAATTGTCAGATTAGGGATCATCTAGATATAGACGACTGAATTCACTCAGTTTTAGGATCTTCAGTTAAATTAATTGTAATTCTAAGAGGACTGCTTTGAAAGTCTAGTAAAAATATCTTAATTTTAGCCCGGCTGGTGTGGCTCAGTGGTTGAGCGTCGACCCATGCACCAGGAGGTCGCTGGTTCAATTCCTGGTCAGGGCACATGCCAAGGATGTGGGCCAAATCCCTTGTGGGGGGCATGCAGGAGGCGGCCAATCGGATGTTCTCTCATGGATGTTTTTATCTCTCTCTCCCCCTCTCCCTTCCTCTTTCTCTAAAATCAATAAAGAAAAAAAATTATCTTAATTTTTAGAAGTTAGTGCTGAATTAGGATCCCCGTAAAGTTGGTGTTGGGTTCTTTTAGGAAAGATACTGAAGTTTGTGCTCCAGGAACACTAATTTTGTGGGTGTAGAGGTGGGCTTACACACTTGTTTAAAAAGTCCTGAGTTGGTTCATAATCCAGGCAGAGTCTCTAAATCTGGGATGTTCCAGCCATTGACATGGTCTCTGCAGTAAGGGCGGTTCGGTTGGAGATGGAGGAGGGTCAGGTGAGAACGGATAGAGGGGATGTTGGCCTGATGGGGAAAGATGCAGGGTCAGAACTCTGTTTGCTTTCATTCCTCCCACTTGGCAGCAAACAGTTCAAGCTGGGACCAGCTGCAGGACATGCCTTTCAGTCTAGCAGCCTCTGTGGTGGGAAGTGCTGGTTGTGACATTCCCGAGTCAGCGCTGCTTTTCTGTGTTCTTTCTGCCCTTTGTCAGACATTCTTCCGGCCTCCCACCCCCGCCCCAGCCAGATGGGACGGTGGCAGAACGTTATGTGGACTTGAAATGTAGGTGACCCAGCCAGACAGGATGCCTTTTTAGGGTGACTGGTCGGGGCTGTGGTTCTGTTCAGGAACAGGAAAGCTGCAATT